ATTTGGTATTTTTTCAATCTAAATATATTCTTAAAAAATCTTCTTACAATCTCGGTGAACTGTATTCAACAACCATAGCTCTTAGCTTTTCACCGGGATGGACGTTCTTCTCAGACACAATAAACCTTTTCAGTGTCTTGTTTAAGTTTTTATGCACTGCTTTAGATGATTTTTCTGATGTAATACCGAGCGGGATCTTATGTCTATCAAGATACTCCTTGAGATGGAACCTGATTATGTTAAACTTCCATCCAAGTGAAATCTTCATTGCGAATCCATCATGGACATATGCTTAAAGCATGGACTCCAGAAACTTGTCTATTTTTCTTTGTTAAACTTTTCTTCTTTAAACCTCCTCAGGGTTTCAATATATTCCAAATATTCAATTGGAGAATGAAGTGTCATTTCGTTCAATGATTTTAAAACTTGCTAATGCTAACTTAAATGATGCGTCTGTGGTGCAGTGGTTATAGCGTTTGCTTTATAAGCAGGAGATCCAGGTTCAAAACGAGCTTTGGGCATATTTTGCGTCATGGTAGGGAAGCAGGCGTGAACTTCCTGGTTAAATGCACTTCCGCGGTGCTTTGTGACAAGATCGTTAGGTCTTCTTGAGGCACCTAAAAAAACAAATTAAAAGAAAAAAAAACTTTGGCACAGTAAGGTCCATCAAAACCACCACCATTATAGCCATGCCTGATAACCGTTTTTTTTTTTCAAGAAATTCCTTCAGATTTTTATCAGTGAAGAATTTTACTAACATGGTGTTCATAAAGATGATATTTAGGTGGTAGAATTATGTTGATAACTTCCTCAGTCGATTTCTTATCCAACAGACAAGGGTTAGTAACATTTTTATAATATTGCATCTGTATACGAGGTTTGTTATCAAATTGGTATTAATCGAATTTGTCTGCTAGTGATCCAAAATTCTTTCGAATTCCTTTCTCATCCATCGGCCCATCACAATAGCAACACGAGTATTTTCCACCGTGACCTTTTATTGTAGAAAATAACTTGTAGGTATTGCTTATTTAAAATATAAAATAAAAATGAAATAAGGTATTTACTGATAATCCGATGACGATATTGATCAATTTGTGGTCAGAAGCCAAGGTAAACTTCAATTGGTTGAGTTGAAAGAGTTGGAAAAGTGTTTTCAGATTGTGATGATTCTCTTTTACGTTTCGAACTATACCTAAGATAATCACTTTATTGACTCCGGTGTACTTCTGGCTTCTTGGTTGAAAATCTAATACTGATGGCTCAAACTCGTTCATAACAATCTTTAGAGATCCCTGCCCTCCATCATTTCCAACACGTACAACAGAATTAAAAATATCCAATTTTCTTAAGGAACAAACTTCAGTTACGATCATAGATAGGTCAGTACAATAAACAATATCTTTTTCAAATAAGTTTTTATCGATCTTGAGCTGACATTTTATCACATCGTAAAACCTATTCAAGTAGCGTGACATGTTCGTAATTTCAGCATAGGTGTTCTCTTGTATTCCAGATCGTTCAACATATTTTTTATCATATCTCCTTCATTATTTTTAACACTGCACAATTCGGAAGATCGTGGTTTATCTTTAAGTTCAGGATTGTTTCGCTTTTTATATGTCTTATAGGTGATTGGTCTCTGTATACTTTAACAGGAAGAGCTTTTCCTCCTGTTGCAAGTTTTATTTTTTTACTATCACTAAAAACAGAGATTTCATTTAGCGTACAAGAAACAACTCTGTCAGCAATATTTTGATTCTTTGAACTAATTAGGGCGTCAAGATTTTAAATAGTTTTTTTTGTTGTTGTTGCAAGGATGACAAGTACCAGGACCATCAATTTGATAGCATTCTGAGCAAAATGAATTTCTTTTTTTGAATGTAATCTTTTCAGATTCTACGTAGGTGAATTCAGAAAGATTAATTGTACTACTACTTTTAGTACACAGCCCTAGACAACAAATAGAACAATTGCAGTTGCCATCCTTTTGGTTTAATTCTTCCTGACTTTTTAACTTGATCACGACCATTTATCCAGGAAGTCTCCACAGCTTTACTGATCGCTTTACCTATCTGTTTTAAATATAAGTTTGTCTCGCAGTTTCCGCATATTCCAGACGGATGAGAACTTAGGTTCAGACTGAATCCAGGGTCCACAAAGTCTTTGATCAGATGAATCAATGAATCATTCTTCTCCAAAGTCTTTATCGACACAACAGAAACATATCCATCTCCTATTTTCTGAATGAGATCTTGCTTTTTGTAGACTTATTTTGTACAAAAATGTCTTTATTTATTATTTTCTGTATTAGGTTATTTAAGTTTTATAAATCAATACTCTAACAAATGTTTAATTTAAACAAATTATCAGATTGACGTAATTTATTGAGACTAATTTGTCTAAATAGTCGTGTTTATGCAATTAGCTTGATATTAGATCATTTGTAATTAGTCTCTAAATAAAATTAACTTCAATTTTAGACATAAACCACATGATTTGAAAACAAGAGTAGAAATACCCTTGAAAAACGCCCCCTGTATCGCCCTGGTTGAGGAAAAGTAATTTTTAAAAGAAAAAAAAACTTTTTCTTGAATCCCATCATAAATTGTAATAGGTTTCAAATTTCATTAAAATGTATTTTGACTCTCAAAAGATACAGCCACATAAAGTTTAGGACCCTTCACTTTTTGAAGGTTTTAAGTATTTAGAAAAATGGTCAAAAAATTAAAAGAAATTTGGTTTTTAATTCGTTTTGAACGGTTTCTATTTCATGTCAACTTGCTCGAAAGAGTGGTTAAAAAAATCTTAAGTAAAAATAACTTCAACTTAAAACCTCTAAAAATGAGCAATGACGTTTGAATAGCTATAATAAAAAACTGCAAAGGTTTTTTGAAGTTCAAAAAAAATCTAAAACACAATGATTCATCTTGAGCGAGAACAGTTAATCATCTTGAGCAAGTTTTTGATAAAGAGTTCAAAAAATTAATGAACTATAAGATGCTCGTGCTCCCACTGAAATTATTGTGGAACATTTATGTAAAAAAGACACTAATCTTTTACTTATTGAAAAAATTATTGAATTTGCTGCTAAGAAGCTAAAGTAGATATATCAAGGTACATTAATAAGCCTTGCTCTCTTAAAATATCTTAAGTTTGTATTCAAGAATAAAGAAACCCAGATTTTGTATACTTAATATATTATTTGAAATTTCCGACTGAATAAAATAATCAGTTTGGAATAAAAATTAAAAAATTTGAAAACATATTGCAGGCAACTTACAGCAGGTTATACATTAAAGCTACTTACCCAGACCCTTACAGCAGGTTATACATTAAAGCTACTTACCCAGGCCCTTACAGCAGGTTATACATTAAAGCTACTTACCCACGCCCTTACAGCAGGTTATACATCAAAGATTGAAAAAATGAAATCTCTTTTTGAAGAATTTTCTTTAATTATTAAAGAGACAGAGTAACAACGTAAATAAGATTAGATTTAAGATTTTGGAGAAAAAGATACTTTTACTTGATGCTACACGTGCAATGCCTAAAACTTTAGATGGAGCCACTAGCAGCTTTTTCAACCATTGGATTATTACCACCAAAATATGAAATAGATAGGGCGATAATATCCTTAATGCATTGCGTCACATCTAAAAATAAACTAATAGCAGTTTGAAGATAAAAGTTGTAAAACTTTGATTTTTGTATTTTTAATCTAAAATGACAATCTAAAATTCACACATCTTGGTTGTTATAGTTATTACAGCTGTGATGTATGGGTTAGAGTTCTTGCTCAGAACAATGAGGTCCGAGGTTCAACGTTGGCTCTAACTTAATAAGCAACATTGGTAAAGAAACTCACGCATCTTGGGAAGCTACATCCTGTAAATTTTAAACGTTTCCACAACTTTTTTGTATTTGTGAAGAATTTTGTACTACAAATATTTGTAAAACTTTTACAAATATTTGTATTGAAAAAAGTTTTTCAAAAGAAAAATTTGTTATCGAATTATAATATATTGTTTGTTTGCACATATTTGAAGTATTTAAACATTTATTGTTTGCATACTTACGCATAAAAAATGTTAAATAAATGTTAAATTAAATTTTCTTATTTTTGTTGTTATTAATTCAACGACATTAATTTGATTATTCACATTAAAATATTCCTTTTTACATGTACAACAATAATAACCATCAGAGTTTTCATCAGTTTTGTTTTTTTTATTAACTATCCCTATAAAAAAAAAGCACAAATATGCCATCATAGGCAACCACTGGTCCTATGATGGCACAGGGGAGGATGGGGCTGGTAAGAATCAAGGGTAACTTGATGATTTCATTTAACCTTAGATTCCTCCCTCAGAAAAGCCAGAAAATACTCGGAACCATCCTAATTTACCATTTAAGGCTACACAGTAGCATTGTAAAGCATCGCGCATGCGCATAGTGTATATTACGTTTTATGTATTTCTTGAACCAAAAAAAAACTTTTAAAGCATCGTTTTCTTTTTACTTTACTTAAAAATAAGTTTTTGCTATAAAAAAAAGGTTTTTCCAACTCGTCGATATTGCAACACACCCAACTCGTCAGTATGCCATCATGGGAAGAAGTTATCATTTTCATTAAAACAAGTCGTGTCTGCCTTGTTTAAAATATAAAATGAAAGTAAGTATTCCACTAAATCCACAAAACTTGGATATAAAATGTATGAAAATTCCCTTTCTGCACAGTTAATAATAAAATCACAATATAAATTTTATGAAGGGAATAAAACTACCCAAAATCGATTTTTGTTGATTATAAAAACAATATATGTTCACAAGGGACGTATTTTCACTAAAGCTGATGTAAAGTCAGTATAGTCACTTATCACTTTTTCACCAAAACTAATTTTTATTGGAAATATGACCGGTATGCCATCATAGGCGCTATGTTATCATAGGCGCCTTTCCCCTAGTTCTAAATACAAATTTATGAAAAAACAATTGAGTTTAAAAACACAATATATTTTCAAGAGAATAGTATACAAAACCATTTAGAAAGAGTTATTTCTTTGAAATAAAAAATATTTTTTTCCTATTTGGATGTCAATATTTTCTGTTAAGCAAATGTTGATCAAAATGAAATTCTGCTATTCCGTAATTAGGCATATCACTTTTTCCTTTAGAAGAAGCCATTCTTGACAGTGTTTTAATGTGGGTTTTTAATTCTTTCAGACCAGTGTACTGCTCCGGAATAACTTCGCTTTCAATAAAATTTGTGAACTAAAGTTTAAAATTAAAAAAAGTCAATTTTTATATTCATATATTTGTTACACTGAGTTCTTTAAGAATAAACAAAATTCTTTAAGAAGGTATTTCCTATTATTATTAGCAACTACTATTAGATACTTCAAGTTTAAATATTAGAAAAAATTTTGTTTACCTATTTTGCTTGAAATTAAAAAAAAAAACTTATTTAAAAAAACAAAAATCTTACATCAATATCATTATAAAGTACACCAGCCATTTTATGAAGACAGAGAACTTCACCAGTAACATTTTGTTCAAGTTCAAATGCAAGTTGCAACGCTTGTTGTGCACTTGTAAAAGTCTGATACACTGGCTAAAAAAATAAGTTTTTTTTACTATAATTGTTTTTATTGTAAAACTTATTATGAAATATAATAATTATAAAAGTCATTTGATTATGTTATCATTTTAAAATTAAGGAAAAGTCGCGCTAATAAAAAAACCAATTGACTTGCTTTTTTTTTTTTTTTTTTTTTTTTGCGCAAATGGTCTCAAAGTGTTATGTTATGGTTTACACTTTTGTGTAAATAAATATAAATCTTGCGATGATTGGAGCCTTGGAACAAAAAAGCTCAAAAATTTTGGTCACAACTACCTCAAACGAGAGAGCAACAAGTTGTCAATATATTTTTTACAATTTTCAACTGAAGTTATATTCATCGAAAAATTTTAAATTTTATAGTATAATCTCTCAGCGTTCAAAAATTATGGCCATATGAAATTTAAATTCCCCACAATTTGAGGGGGTTACAAATTTTATAAGGTCATAATTTTTGAATGTTACAAGATTATTGTATAAAATTTAAAACTTATCGGTGAATATAACTTTAGTAAAGAACGATAAAAAAAATATTTTGTCAACTTGTTACTCCCACGTTTGTGGTAGTTATGGCCAAATTTTAGGGATTTTTTGTTCCCAGACCCCAATCATAACAACTTTTTGCATAGCATCCTTATTTGACATAAGCATAAGCATATAAATGTTTGGTGTTTGCTCCATGTCAGGAAGATAGATCCTCAAACACCAAAAAATGCTGAATCCCCTGATTTATATATATATATATATATATATATATATATATATATATATATATATATTTATATATATATATAAAATCTAACATATATTAAATTATTAACATTTTAATACATAAGCACTTCACATGTTTTTATATGTTTTTGCGTTCATTTTATTAATTATGTAGAGTTTATAATTTAAAATAGTTAAAAATGTCTTCTTACTGCCGTTATATCAAAAAAGGTGACTCTTCCGCTCCGTTTAGCTTGGTATTTCATAAACATCTCAGCGTGTTTTAACTCTTCCATTGCTGCTTCGTGAAAGTATTTTGAGAATCCTGGGAGATCATAATCTTCTCGCATAAAGAAATGAGACTAAAGAAATGCAAAACAAATTTGAGAGTGTAGTTAAAAGTGTAAAATTAACTTTTCCACGTAAGCTAGACCCTATTTTTTTTTATGGTTGCTTATAACACCATTAAGGTACTACTTTTTGTTTAAATGATGGACTGAGTCCATCACTTAACAAAAATATATCGTAAAAAGAAAAATATGCACTTGCTTATGCAATCTCAAACCCATTTTATAAAGTTAGTTAGTTTTTTGCAACTCATCAGTAAAAAAGATAATAAAAAAAGCTAAGAACTACTTTCTTGAATTTCTAAGAAAACTTTTTCTTGAAATATTTTTTTATTGAATTGCAAAACCGCCTGAGGTTATGATGTTTGAATTAACTAAAGGCAAATATGAATGGCTGTTTAGTTTTTTAAAAAAGTAATTTACTTAAATCTTAAACAAGAAGCTTAGTCACATGTTGAGACAACTAGAGTTTGGGTTCTGGCCTATATGGACAAAGGATCACTTTATTTAGTTTGATTGTACATGTAGGAGAAAATCTTTAAAATTTTAACAAAAGTTATTTTCTTTTACAGGTGTACATTTTTTTAATAGAGGTTGAAATTTTAGTTGCAAAATGCTACTTTTGGCCGAGTTTACAGTTTCGTAGCTGTTACAGTATTTCTTTAGACTTACATCGTAATCTATCATCTTAATTAATTGAAATTCCTCCTCATTTGACACCAATCTGAGAATAAAATATTTAAATTACCTCATTCACAATGCTACTAGTTTTTAGGCGGGTTTAAGGTTTTAAACAGGCTCTGGCCAGATAAGTGACATTGGAACGGTAAGAGGGTGCACCTGATTGTTTCTGAAATGTTTTTCTCAATATAAAAATCCCAAGTTCTCTTTTTGGATCATCTAAACAACTAAAAAAATGACAAACTTCATACCATATTAAAATTACCAAGCCAACTACCTACCATGCTCAAGTAATTATAGAAAGCATTCATTTCGACTTTGATGTGAATGTTTATCAGCTTCTCAAGATCTTTTGCAAAAGGAAAGATTCGATCAATGAACTCTTTTAAGTAAACACACAAATTTAGATAAAAATAATCCAAAAATTGCAGTATATAAAAACAAAAATTAAAGTAAAAAATTTACTATTTTTACCTTCTGTTCGAACGTCTTTAGCGTCCACTTTTCGATTGTCTTTTGTTTCATTGTTTTTCTGCGTAAAAGAAGTATATAACTAATAATTTCGTTAATGTTTATGTTACTAATAAAAAAATAAAAAAAAATAAAAAAAATGAAACGCTCTGCCTGAGTTAAATATTATTGAGAAGTGAAATATAGATATGATTTTTCTTTAATTTGTTGTTAATTACCAATCATGTCCTCTTTATGATCTATTATTTTTACTTTTATAAATTGCGTGAACTATACCAAACATTTTTACTTTTTTTAAACAAAATTTAAAATGATATTTAATCAAAGTTTAGATGCGCCTATAGAACTGAAAAAAAAACTATAAGGAAATAAAACAGTTTTAATAAAGATAACTGATCGTTTCAAGCTATATATTTTAGATGAAAAATATTTTTCTGGCTCTAAGAAAAAAGAAAATTTTAGTATTACAACTCACCAGCCTTTTGCTCATCCATGAGCAATCTCTATCTATGGTCGCATTTGCAAAAGCAAAAAGAAAAAGAAATCCAAGTATAATATTCATGGTATCTTATTCTAAATAAAAATAAATATTCATTAAAAAAAAAAACTTAATTTTAAGTAAAAAACCGTTTGAACATATTCAATTTTTAAATTAAAAAAAATTTATATGGTATTAATTTATAAGATAAGAAACTTTATAAAAATTTATCAGATAAAAAACTGATTAAAAAAACTTTATCAAGTACCTGATAAAAAAACTTTACCAGGTAGCATAAGAACTTACTTGTGATCTATTTGCAAAATATAATAGATAATTGTAAAATGTGAAAAAGAATGTTCCTTATACGTCAATTATTTTAAACCTGAAAAGCAAACAGAAATTGGAAACCATAGAAAACTCGGTTTGTTTGTATTAATTGAGATTTACGTAACAAAACAGTTAAAAGAGCTCTTAACTGCTTTTGAAATAAGGTATGACATCAACACTGCTTTATCAACAGTAGTCTCTTAAAAGAAAACTGTTTATACATATTATTAAAAAAACAATGTGTAATACACTTTGTTTTTTTATTTAAATAATATCCGATCTTTTGTGTTTGTTGCATAAACTGTATTAGTTAGGTAAATTTAGTAGTTTACCCAAGCTTACTAAGCAAATCTCAAATTGTTTTTGATCTAGTTGTTTTTAATCGGTTAAACACTTTTACTAATATTTCAGTTACGTAAAAACATGACAAAAATTACTTTTATAAAACTGTTTCTTCCATATCAATATTTGGGTCTTTACGAAATCATAATGCCGACGGCAACTGCACAAGATATTTCTAACTTTGATCCTAAGCTCCCCTAGTGGGAGCTTATCGTAAAAGTTACAAATACTATAAATATTTAGGCTGTGCATCCAGCCTAAAACTTTAAAAACCTTATTCGCTTTTTTAAAAGGATTACATGAATTTTCAGTTTGCAAATATAACAACTTGAAATAAATATTCAATTAAAAAATTCATAATTTGTCATCTGGTCACGTGACTGGGCAAGATATTTTATAAAATTTGAAAAACTACCAATAACTCTAACTAAAGTAACACAAAATAAACACAAGTCGCAAAAAACTACTTTTAAAGAAGTTAAACTTGAAGGACACCATCCATTATGAGATATCGAAAATGATGAATTTTTTTTAAGCGCAAAAAGTAAACTTAATCGTTTAAAATTGCGTTAATAATATTTAAAAAAACCAATTGATGTTTTAAAATTCATGATGCAAATACAGTTTAGTTTTCACCCAACTTTAAGATTTTGTTGAGTTGTTATATGAAAACCCATCTTGCCCATTCGCCATGTTGCCCCGCTTTCCCCTAGAATAAAATTATATACAAAAACCAATTTGGTTTCAAAAAAAACAATTCAACCGAGCATGCTATTCTTCAACTTACGCGCAATATAACTGACTCATTTAAAGACTCTTGTTTTACACTAGGAGTGTTTATTAATTTGTCCAAGGCATTTGACACCGTCAATCATTAAATCCTGTTAAAAAATATTATATGGTATTTAAGATAAAACCTTACTATGGTTTGAAAGTTATCTTACTAACCGTAAACAGTTTGTTTACAGTAAGGGTTCTATATCTCATCTATTAATGAATATAACATGTGGTGTTCCACAA